AACAAAGGGTAAAAGTCACAACTTTTTGGAAAAAAGACAACCTTTTAGAAAAGTCACAACCCTTTGGAAAATGCACAACCTTTCAAACAATCACAACCCTTTAGAAAAGACACAACCTTTCATAAAGGTCACAACCCTTCCGGAGAGTCACAACCCTTCATTTCCTGTTCACACCTTTAAAACCCAACAATTATGGTGGGGAACTTCACGTTTAAAGTTTAGATATTCAACGGCTCTCTACGATTTTAAAAAGTAACTCAAGGATTCAATCTTGCATTCCCCGTATACTTCTGCACTCAATAACCACTACGCTACGGGTCTCTATTAGTATTAGTTCTAACGTGATGATTATTAAACTTTGACATTTTATGTGATAGGTGAACCAACTTTGCCAAATTTGCTAGAGTTGTGGAGCTAACGAGTCTATGAATAGATCATCGAAATCGTGTGGCTTTTGATCCATAGCTAACAATATCACATGTTAGGAGTATCTTCGTATTATTTTAGCCCAACAACATACTGATACTTCCGTCACATTGACAGACACCCAATGATTCATTTTTTTTTTTATAGACTTCTACTGAGGAGTGATAAAATCTTAGCTCTGAAAGACAAGGTTCCATTCACTACTCGATCCCATTATAAAACTATATATGTTACTCGGACTCTATAAAAGAAGGTGACTTGTGAGTTTGGAGGATCCAACATGGGTCCGGTGCAACAATATTTTATAAGAGTCCAAACAACGTAGATGATAAGACCTACTTAAAGTAACCATAGAAGATGCAATATAAATAAACGCAACTCTTATTTTTTTCCGAACTGATCAGTTGAAAACATCCTATGCGATGTTTCATCGAACACCTTGAAGGAAAAAAAATAGAGAGCAGGAGTGAGTTGAGTACCACATTGATAAACAACGAGTAAATACATACTTTGTCCCAATATAAAAGTGCAGCACAAATTAGCTTAATAACTCACGCAGCCACGCAGTGAGCACAAAGCGAACTATTCTTTCGCCTTTTACTAAAGAATACCGTGTGCACGCTGCAATCAGTGACATACGCCTATTTTTGGAGGGATTCTCTTCTTTAGAGGACCCCAACAATACTAGTTTTTAACCTTTTCTACAAGTATTCTTATTCGTAGTAACATTTGTTTATATTCTGATATTATAAAATAGTGACACTCTTTTATAATAAGACACCACGGTAATAACAAGAAGAAAAAATAAAAATGACGATGTCAGATTGCCCAGTGCACATTTTAAAGTTAACATCATATGGTACCACATATAATTAGTCAAAGTGCACACAGGTCAAAGACATCACGGTTGTATGAAGAATAAAACGAAAAGAAGAAATAACATTATGGAGCTATTCGGTAAGAAGAAAAAAATACTTTTCATGAAAACTGTTTTCCTCTCTACCAAAAACACCCTATAAGTTGAGAAACTTTTGCAGTAAAGTTAAATTTTCCCAAGAGTATGATAAAGATTTGCTTGATATTAAATCAAAAAAGATAATGATAAAAAGATGAAGGGCAATATATCCCTCATCGGTTGACACAAAGGAAAACAAGTATTAAGATGGTTATAAAAGTTTAGGAAGGAACAACGAGAAACATACTTACCTGGACGGGGTCAATGGGCGATCAATAGATCCATGGCCTAGGTTTGTGACCTCCATTGCACTTTGGAGGGGTGCCTACCTAAGGTCGATCCAAGTGGTCGAGCCTACGTCATAATTTGTTGCAGAGGGGGCCTGCGTTCGCGCGGCCCCTACCAATTCTTTATCAAAATTTTCTTCTTTACTTACTATTCGTGTATAACTAAGGGTCCATTTCAACCCTAGAACATTTTTCTATTGGTTTATTTGGATTAATGGATGTAACATGAGTGTGGCAACATTTTACTACATTTTTTTGTTGGTCCTTGAGAAGTAGTACACTTTAGAGCATCTCACTTAAGCGCGACAACATTCTAACATTTCTTTCCTGTTTGTGCATTTTTCAACCTAGCTCTGTTTAGGGATGGCAAAATCAAGCTCAACTCGTTCAAGGCCATTTAATCCGCTTAAAATAATTCGCCTATTCATTAGCTCAATCCAATCCATTAAAAATTGAGTTGATATGTAACCTGAATTGACTCATGAAAAATCTTATTCAAATATTTTTTTAAAACTTTTTTTTCAATTTGATATATTTTATATAACCATAACAAAGATTTTTTTTTTATTATTAGATACTAGAATAATTTAAAAGAACAAGTAAAATAATTAAGCTTAGTAAAATTGGGTTGGGTTGGGTCGGGTCTTGAACGTAATGTTTATTGTAACCCATGACCTAACCCATTTTGACCCAAGAAAAATTGTGTTGGGTTGGATCTTGATCCGATTGTTGTCTCAACCCATTATGACCCATCCAAATTTGACCCAACACACCCAATTGTCACCCGTAGCTCCGCCCTTGGACGTTATTATACATCTCCAACTAACAAAAAAAATTCATTAAAACACTATCTAATAAAAAGTTCAACAATATTGTCCACTCAAATATAATGTCTATCATCCTGTTTGTTGTCTATGTGGTGCCATAAATAAAAGAAAAGATCAAAAATCAAGGGTAAAATGTCCCTTATCGGCTGACACAAAGAAAAACAAAGATCTAGATGGATATAAAAGAATAGGAAGGAGCAACAAGAAACATACTTACCTGGACGGGGTCAATGGGAGATCAATAAGACCCATGGCCTAGGTTTGTGACCTTCATTGCACTTTGGAGGGGTGCCTACCTAAGGTCGGTCCAAGTGGTCGAGCCTACGTCATAATTTGTTGCAGCGGGGGCCTGCGTTCGCGCAGCCCCTACCAATTCTTAAATAAAATTTCCTTCTTTTGGTTAACTTATATTTGGTTTTTGTTAAACAGTGATAAATAAAATGTTCCTCATGCTAATATGTCATTATAAGCTTTGTTGTGTCCTGTGTTACATGTTGGTCCTTGAGAAGTAGTGCATTTTAGAAGATTTGACATGACACGACAACATTTAACACTCGGGTGCATGTTGGCAGTTTGTCCTCATCAAGAAGTAGTGCATTTTAGAAACTCGGTGCATGTTGGTCCTCGAGAAGTAGTGCAGTTTAGAAGATCTTGCATGACTGCGGCAACATTTAACATTCGGATGCATGTTTGCAGTTTGTCCTCGAGAAGTAGTACATTTTAGAAGATCTGACATGAGTGTGACAACATATAACATTTTTTTGAAGAGTCTAAGAAACATAAATTAGAAGGCCAAATAAGAAACACATATTTTCTGATTAAATGAGAAAGTCTACGTACAGAAAAACTTAAAATTTTGAAGAAGCAGAGAGCATTATTTAAAGGAGTGAGTGAGGTGAGTACCACATCGATAAACAACGAGTAAATACAAACTTTGTCACAATATAAAAATGCAGCACAAATTGTCTTCAAAACTCACGCAGCCACGCAGTGAGCACAAAGCGAACTATTCTTTCGCCTTTTACTAAAGAATACCGTGTGCGCGCTGCAATTAGTGGCATACGCCAATTTTTGGAGGGGTTCTCTTCTTTAGGAGTACCCCAACAATACTAGTTCCAACTTTTCTAATATGGTCTTATAATGTTATACTTTTTTGATTATGATATTGTTAACAATCTTTGTTGAGGGTTGGTAAAAAAATTCCTATAATATAGAATTTTTCTTGAATACTCAATGCTTTAAATCAAGATCGTAGGATCAGGGTTGATCAAATCATCTGATTAAGAGTGGAGGAATATTTTTTTTTCGTTAATGATGGAAAGGACCAAAATAACAAGAGGGAAATGATATATAGGAGCAAAATTCAAGCTTATTATATGGGAGCAAGAATTTTTTTTTATCTAAGAGCCATCATGAGGACTAAATGTAGTATAATACTCCTATAATTTAGTTGATTAATGTTGTGAAATTTAAACTTTATATAAGCAAAATGTCCCTCATTGGTTTATACAGGAAAAGAAGGATTTGGATGGGATATATAAGAATACGAAAGAGCAACAAGAAACATACTTATCTGAACGGGTTAGTGGGCAATCAATAAGGCCCATGGCTTAGGTTAGTAACTTCCTTTGCACTTTGGAAGGGTGCCTACTTAAGGTCGGTCCAAATGATTGAGCCTATGTCATAATGGGGCTTGCCATTCGCGCAACCTCTAACTCAATTCTTCAACAAATTTTTCTTGTTCTTGTTAAGTTTGGTATTCAATTAGAACTTTACATGTTTTTATTGGTTTATTTGGATTTACCAAGTGATATATGTATGATGAAAAAAAAAATGCACTTCTTTGCTCTATGAATTACTTGACTATGTTTGACACAAAAATTTTATGTCATAAAAAATATATATATTAAAATGTTGGTCAAAATTCACAGAGTTTAAATCTCAAAAAGCAAAAATATTAATTGGAACGGGGGAATATTCAAGATACTCATTCCAAAACATCCAATGTGATATCTCATCTATCATCTTTTGAGCATATATTTCTTAGAAGTCGAAGCGAATTCAAAATTTAAATATGCTTATACAAAAAATACGTAGAAAGCAATACATTTTTAAAAAGGAGTGAAGGAATCGGAGACATATCTAGGATTTTGAAAGGATGGGTGCACTTTACAAAAAAAATGAATTTAAGATATTAAATTTGAGTGGTTTTGCCTTTATCTTTTCACACCGAGTTTAAATCTTTTTTATTTACATAATTTAAAATGATGAGTCTATTTTTTATAAAATATAAACTTATAATATAGGTTAAGTTTTATTTTAAAAAATGGAAATCACAAATTTGAATCTCAATAGCATATTTTATTCCAAAAAAAAGATTAAATATGCTCAATTCACTAAGATGAGGATCAAAATGAACAAATCAATAACTTTAGAGACTAAAAACGCTATTTTCCTTTTCCTTAAGTATGAATTTTGATATTTCCTTTTTATTTTCCCCAAATCCCTCTCCCTGTTAAAAAAAAACCTCCCCCGCCGTCAGTCCATCTCCCTGCGCCGGCGTGCCGCTGCTGCAAGTCTTCCACACCGACCGCCGGCGTCCTCCGTAACTGTAAGTTTCTCTTCAAAGGCTATTCCTAGCCTTATTTATTGTAGTTGTTCCTTTTTATTTTTTATAATCGTGCGCTTTATCATGCTTTCTATAGTATCTGCTTTGATATGATTTTCCTTGAGCTGAAGGTCTGTCCAAAATAACCGGAGTAAGATTTATGTAAACTCTATACTCTCTGGACTTTGCATTGGTTATGTTGTTTATACCTAAATTTTATGGTTTCCTTGATAGAGTTTTGCTGGCTGTATCTTCACCTAGTAGTAAGAAAGAGGATGAAAGACCTATTGATGCAAAGTTGAAACTTGAAACATGGATCCAGTATTGAAAATATATTCTTATTCTAAACATGTATTGAAGAGAGAAATAACAAGATGAGGCACCTAAGGGTGTGACGGAGTGATCAATGAACTTGGTTGAGAATCAATAGGTCACTGGTAACACTAGGTGATTTCTTTTTCATATGTTCAAGTCTTGGTGGATAGAGTTACACGGTGATTGTACTGGTAGGAGGTAGCAGGTACCGCGTGAAATTACCTGATAGCTGACCTAGACTCCACGGGTATAAAAACTAAAAGAAAAGCACAGAAGCTGCTAAATATTCATACATTTCTAAGAGGATTCACACAACAGACAATGGCTACAACTACTTATAACAAGAAGAAGTTGGCAAACTATGATAAATTCAATCACTATTTGCAAATAACAAAACATCTTGTGAATCTTCCTGCCAATTCCATGTGTACTAGGCTTTCATCCAAGGACCTTGCCATATAATGTCTGATATACAATTTTTTCTTCATTTGCTGTTGCATTATCCCTGTTCCATTAGTACCTAATGTGTATGGTTATAATCACCATATACTACCTGGGACACCTTTTTTATATCGCATTGCTTCTCACCCTTGCAATAATGCTTAAAAAGATTTTACCTCTTCCCATCAGGTGTCCTTTAACTGCACGCCAAAGAAAGATGAAAGAACAGATGGCTATATTAGGGAATAATAGAATTGAAGATGTTTGGTGGCTTTGTTCCTTAACCGAATCTGAGCTTGTAAGTTATCTCTGCTCATTTTTTTCCTTTTCTTTTGGGTGATGACCAATATCTTATGTCTGATCTGGTTGAATTTTTTAGGATTTATTGATAGGTTTGAAAGTTCTGATACAACAACGTGCCAAAAAGATTGGTCACAAGTCTCTAGCTAACAAGTTTGACTTGAAGACCCTTCGAGCCCTCAGTGAGTTTTTTCTTCCTCCTCTCCATAAGTTTGTAACATTTATTCATTACTTGAATGGTGCATCATCTATAAGCTGGTATTTGCTATAGAAATTGCTGAATTCTTTGTCTGTTTTTACTTTCCTTCAGATTGACAGTAACTTTTCTTTTTAAAAAATATTGTTACACTTGAGCCCGATAGCGAAAAATTTGCACATTTATAGCAAGTAAAGAACAAAGGGAGAAGGAAAGAATGAAATCAGAAGATAAGAAGAGGGGATATGAGAGGAGGGAACTCAGCTTTTTCAGTCATTACATCTTTATAATACTTCCAAATATAATTTAAAGAAAGAAAGGTAAAATGGGCAAACAAGTCTGAGATGACATATTAGAGGGTTCTAGAGGGCTTAGGATGTACTAGGAGCATCTTGAAGGAGTTTTTATCTATGAAGAGCTTTAATAGATTCATTATGCAGTCGGGCTACTTCATAAGCATCCATGAGGGTGGCAGGGTTGGCTATCCTCACTAGAGACTTGATCTCTTGTTTCTATACGTTGACAAAGCAAGTTACAAAGTGGAATTCAGTAGGATGGAGGTTAATCATCACCATATTGGTTGCACCCTCCATTGCTCGTAATAACTGTCCACAGTTCCACATCGCTGAAGTTTATTGAACTTATATATAAAATCGCTAAACCTCCTGTGTAGATCTGCCCAGAACATTAGCCAAGATAGACCATCCACTGGGAATCCTTTAAATGCTCTTTAAATCAGTAATTAACTCGATGCATTACTTGTTAAACATAATTCAGCTTCATCTATTAGGAATTTGATAGGTTTCAAAATATTTTCCGTGCCTTCTAATCTAGCCCTCGGATTGATGCCACCAAACTCAGGAAAATGAAGCTTCATTTTCGGAGCTTCTGTGCTGAATAGGGAGTGTGATTTGGTACTGGTTCAATGACAGAAGCGAGAAGCGAGGTGAAGTGGTAAGCACAGAGCGACTGCTGCTTCTTTTTATAAGATGATAAGAAGAATCATTGCTTATACAAAACTTGGTATTTAGAGACACAATGTATTTTTTCGCATTTCTTAAAGTTGAATCTTCGTAGAATTATTGAGTTATTGTGGGTTTCTATCCTAGTGAGGGTCCCTTCATTGCTTGCTTCTTCTTGTGTTGTGTTTTTTGTCCTGCATGAATATCTTGCATTACTGTAACTTCAAAAAACTTTACCATGCCTTAATGCGATCAGGTTTACTCCCCTGGATATTTTGCAAAACAGTTCACTTAATCACACCTGTTTTTCGGCTGCCAAGGCTTTAACCTTACCAAAGTCTTTTTCAGTGTAATTATTACTCTTAGTTATCACTTGCAGAAAGAATCCATGTAGTTGGCATGTATCACACGTCGGTTTAACTGAAGTTTTGATCACTTCACTATTTGGCAGGTTTCGTTTTGATGGAGAATCTTAAAGGAAAACTTAGAGATCTCTCCGGTACACCTGATACAGCCGAGTCTTCATCAACTTTAGATGCATGTAATTTGTTGAATTATGATCTAGACAAGACTTTTGCAAATATGGGGGTTGAACAGCTGAGCTCCTACATTTGCAACGACAAGAGGAAGAGAATTTTGGAGATGTAAGTTCTCTAGAACTCATTTAATCATTACCCGTAAATTGATTTATGAATCATATTGGATTGTATTTCTGAGGTCATTCTTCCGGTCTATCCTCGCTTATGATTCCCAACTTGTAGATAGTTTTCCAAGCATGACTTCACGCACCTAAGGGTGTGGCCTAGTTGTCAATGAAGTGAGGAAAATCATAAGGTCTCAGGTTTGAGACAGATCACTAGGTGATTTCTTCTCTTTTGTCTGAGTCTTGGTGGACAAAGTTTTACAGGGCACCTGTTGTTGGTGGTCGGTAGTAGGTATCCCGTGGAATAAACGATACGCTCGCAAGCTGGCACCAGATACCACGATTATAAGACAAAAAAAGCATGACTTCACGATTCGTGCATTTTTGTGAGCAATCTCATTTTCTGAAATTTAATCAGATGCATAAAACAACATTTTTGTTTCCCAACTTTTGGTTTCCTCGATACATTAAGTCACATTATTTTCTATAGTTTATAGGTCTAGTAAAAAAATTTGTCTCCCTCTGGTATCTGGTTATCCTCAAGGCCTCGACTAATTTGGATTCACGTTGAGTAAGGCCCATTCAAGAGGGAAGTGCTCCTTTTCATGAATTTTTCTATTCCCAGGGTTTGATCCTAAGACCTTTGGTTATACGTCTCGTAATTGAACTCTAGATATCGTGTATTCCAATATTCTTTTTCGTCTTCTAAAGATAAATGATTTCAGATCTTCACACTGCTTGTGTATTAAGTTCTTAATTTGTGCTGTAGGTTTTCTGAAGACACGGCTCCAAATAGAAAGCAGAGAGTTAACAGTGACAACAGTAGATCCATCATGTAGCAATATAAGCAAGATTATAAGTTATTTCCTAAAATGTAATATTCAAATTTTGATGTTAGGGATATTATTCCCAATTTTGCTTTTCATTTTTTTAACTATATTATGTGTAGCTTTAATATTTTTTTTACTTTTAATTACAAAAAAGTTGGTTTAGAGAAAGTATAGAGGATTCTCATATGGTTGCTTTTCAAGTGTAGCAGCTTTTGCTCTTTTTTGGTTTTTGTTATTATTGATCTTCATACCAATTTAGAGACGGATTCAGAATTTGAAATGTATCCGTTCATACTTCCTACAGCATCCTCAAGTTTTGTATTGGTTTCCCACCTGATATCATGTACTTGCATTGGACCTGATGAATTCGGATAACTTATATTAAGCCCATATAAGTTGAGAAGTAAGATGGCGTTGATGATAATCGGTGTTTTCTTGAAGAAGTGATTCTATTGATGACATTTGGTATGAGATTGAATGAACTTGACCGAGAGGGTGGAACCAGTGGCGGAGCCAATATTTTTAATTAGGGGGTTCAAAATCTGAAGAAATAGACACACGAAATAGCCTAAGGGGGTTCGACATCTACTATATATACATAAAAAAATTATTTTAACCATGTAAAAACAATATAATTTTCCGCCGAAAGGGGGTCGGATGACCCCCTTAAAGATAGGGTGGCTCCGCCATTGGGTGGAACCCCATTAGTAAAAGATCAGAGAGAACTCCGCTTTTTGGATCAATTTTCACACAATTGAAAGTATAGGAAACAACGCGTAATAATTAAATTGAAGAATAAGATAGCAATAGAGTAATACAACAACATATCCGTAATACAGTAATAACCTGTCATATTGATATGAGAATAGATGATTTTCAGTTATAATTAATCTTCTACCATAATCCTCGTCCTCTAATTAGCAAATGGTGTTATAAAAAACATTAAAGGTACTTGTATAATTGACTTGTTAATTAGTGAGCATTCGTGTCACTGAATGATTATATATTTATTTATTGGAAAAATTACTATATATTATTTGTAAATGTAAGTTCGTCAGAGATATTAACCATTGTAAAATGTAAATAAATATAAACTCTCTTTCCAAAGCTCACACATATCTTTAAAGTATATTCTCTGATCTAGTGTGTGGAAGTGATTAAATTCGTAACCTAGAGATCATATAAAAATAATTTTATCGCTTAAGGTAAAAATAAATCTAGCGTAATTATAAGTTACGAGTTTATGTTAATTTAGTTAAAATATTTCAGTAAATAATATCATAAGTATTTAATTGGGTTGGTATTCAAGGATACATAGCCTAGTGGTCAATGAAGTGCGTGGTTAAGGTTTCAGGTTCAATTTTCAACGAAGACAAAATAAAAACACTAAATAACTCTTCATAAACATAAAATTCTAATTTCGTTACTGACCGAGGCTCTCCTTCACTTGAAAATATCAATACACCACATCTTAGTTCAATCGGAGATCACTCGATTTATTATTGAATGCTTATTATTATTAGTAGATATATCTGGAAACTTTCATATCGACTTATATAGATGAGACGAAATCACCTTCTTGTTATTTTATGTTGTTCCGTTAAAATTTGAATTTCGATCTTTAAGATTTACATTTATTTCATTAATCGCTAAATTACAAAGTGTTTTATATATGCAATTTGTTTATTATATATCTATCTTCAATTCAATAAAAGTAGCACTGTTACAAAGAGAAACAATTATGGAACACAAGAACAAAGCAACGTTCATTTTTGCAGAGATTAATAGTAATATTTATAATTTTATATATATTTTTTCTGCAAATTTTTCATCTGCTTTCTGCAAGTGGCATTTTCTAAAAAGCTTAAATAAAAGATAAAAATGAATTATTATTTTTTTTTAAAAAAAAAAAAAAAGAAACTGCCAAAAAATGAACTGAATTTCATGAATGTTTTATTCCTCACATATTATTATTTTAGTAATTATTTACTGAAGAGGGTGGTGGTTTAGCACTGACAGTACTAATTACATCATACTTAATGATAATCTTATTAATTAAATTAATTAACGGTCTTATTTGTTGATATTTACCTTGTTTAGAGGGTAATTACTATGGATGGAATACTGTAATTAGTAGAGGAGAATAACTTGTCAAACTTTCAATCCTTCTATTTTAATCATGTTACGTACTCAATGAGGATTCGTATAACTGAATTCAATTTATTTGTGTAGACAAAGTTCAAAGGGGTGTAAAGGATTTGATAAATTTCCTATTTATTTTTTTCTGTGTTTAGTATTTTGTTATATTTTTAATCAACTTAGTAAAATTCTAATTCCGCGACTTTGATATATTGATAGTGTTGTTAGGAATCTTTTACTCTAATATACAATTTTTATTGTTTTTCTTTCTATACTCTCTCTTTCAAGTTCTTTTTATTAAATATTTTTCGATATAAATACATATTATTGTTTCTAACTTTCGAAAATAACTTCTTTTTTTCTTTTTTTTTTACAGTCGTCCTATTGAGTACAATTTGCATGTTTATTTTCAATTCCCCATATTTGCATGACTTTTCATAAACATAAAATTATCATGATCAAAGTACACAAAAGTTGCAACCCCCCAAAAAAATTTAAACACTTCTAATTTCATGATTTTTCACATACAAATTTCATGATTCAACATTCAAGAAATCAGCTGCAACCATAATTTATTCAGTATAATTCTATCAGTATGATTTAGATAAAAGTAGAATATACCTAGGCTATTTTTGATAGATTGTCAACTAAAAAAATATAACTGACATGAGATCATAAAACATAAAGTAATAAAATAGCAAGATACAAAATTTATTCAGTATAATTTTATCACTATAATTTAGAAAAAAAGTAGAACATACATAGGCTATTTTTGATAAATTTTTAACTAAAAAAATGTAACTGACATGAGATCGTAAAATATAAAGTAATAAAATAGCAAGATACAAAATAATTAAAATGACATATATAATACTTAATAAATTCAAGAAGTTGCATTCATGTAAATTTAATTAGAAATAATTATTTTATATTTACTATTTTAAATAAAATAAAACAAAAATTCAGCTCGAGGCAAGGTGCTCAGATTTGATACCATCTGTCTATATCAAATCTCACAAACCCATGCAATTGCCACGTAGATCTTTGTTTTTATGCTTACGTGTCTTCTTTTTTTTTTGTTATTATAATTATTTTTATCTTTTTAAATTTTAATGTGGTATATATAATTAATGAAAGAATAGTACATAAATGATAAAACCAACGGTTTTCCAATAGATAAATGTTTTTACCTATAAGTTATGACACATAGCACATGCAAATTGATATTTTTTGCTAAATAAATCTTTAGAGATTTGTACTTTTTATTTTTCTATATGAAGTTTAGTAATATGATTAGAGACTATCTCTATAGTAAATTATACTATATATAGATTATTATCTCACTTAGTAAAATTTCACTGAATATATTATTGATAAATAATAATAATAATTTAATATTAAAATATTCAATTTACACTTAGTAAAATAATTTATAACACACAAACATCAAGTACTTAGATCACACATTTCAAAAGTTTTTCTTTGTTTCTTAAATATCATGTCAAGTCAAACTAACTCATATAAATTATAACAGTGAAAGTATAATTTTACAAATAAAATCGAAGATAATAGAGTACACATATATTTTAGACATAATACATAAATATGACCCTTAACTTGGTTTCAGCAGACAACTACGCCCTCCAATTTTGAGTGTGTGCATAAGTACACACTTAAATTTATATAAAATTGAACAAATAGACACACGTGTCCTACATGACATAATATACGTAGAACATGCAGGATACAAAATTATCATATAGGACATACCTGTCTATTTTGTTCAATTCTACATAAGTTTAAGTATTTACTTGTGTACACCAAAATTAAATATCATAATTGTCAGCTAACGCTTAATTAAAGATCAAATTTATCTCGATAAAACTATTTTCGATAAATCCTCCGCTTGACCGCGCAAAATTTATAACAAAAAAGGTAAATAACCTCAACGGGAAAGTACCATAAATGACAAAATACCCACTCCACTTTCATGTGAAACATAACAAAACAAAAATATTAAAAATATATAATTTAAAAAAATAGGCTCCTTCCCCACTTTAAAAGCCTCACACTCTCAACTTTCTTCTTTACTATACTCTTCATTTCTCCGATTAACCGGAAAACTCCCCGGAAAAATAAAACTCTGTTAAACCCATAATTTTTTCACTTTTTCTGATAGATATCTCAAATGGGTGATCAAATTTGTACAAGAAAAGTCATTGTAGAAGTCTGTAATGCTAAAAATCTAATGCCTAAAGATGGCCAAGGCACTGCTAGTGCTTTTGCCATTGTCGATTTCGATGGCCAACGACGTCGTACTAAGACCAAGTTTCGAGATCTCAACCCTCAATGGGATGAGCGTCTCGAATTTTTGGTCCATGATGTTGATTCTATGGCGTCTGAAATACTTGAATTGAATGTGTATAATGATAAGAAGATCGGAAAAAGGAGTAATTTCCTTGGGAAAGTTAAGATTTCCGGTAGTACTTTCGTCGGAGTTGGGTTGGAAAGTTTGGTTTATTATCCATTGGAGAAACGGAGTGTTTTTTCGCAGATTAAAGGTGAGATTGGGCTTAAGATTTGGTATGTAGATGAAGAAATTCCACCGCCGCCGCCAGTAACGGAGGAGAAAAAGGAGGAAGTTGCAGCGGAGGCAGCGCCGGAGAAGAAAGAAGAGAAACCCCCAACTCCGGCGCCGGAGGTGAAAGAAGAAAAACCCTCTACTCCGACTGAGGAAAAGAAAGAGAAATCGGAGAAGAACGAAGAGGAGAAGAAACCCGATGAATCAGCTGAGAAGAAGGAAGAAACCCCGCCGGAGAATCCGAAAAAAGACGGCGAACCACCAGCAGCAACACCACCACCGGAAGTAATGGAGCATCCACCAATAGCTCAACACAAACCCCCAAATAAAAACCCATCAGCAAATGAAAACACCAGTGAGCTCAAAATCCTTCATAAGAATCTTTCCACCGGAGTCGATCGTCGAACAGGGGCATTTGATCTCGTCGATCAAATGCCCTTTCTATATGTTAGACTTGTGAAGGCGAAACGGGCTCATCACGAGCCCGATTCGTCTGCTTAT